CATTCAATCCTACACGTACTACGATACTACATATTCACCTACTAAAACACCCTGATGTAAAAATTTCAAAATCTTTTTTCTTTTCTTTTTTTTTTCTACAAAAAAATATATAAAAATTTCATGAATCATGAAATGACGGGAGAGAGGATGAACCCAAAAACTAAAGCAAAATAAAACAAAACATTCAAACTACAACTTAACAAATGTCAGTAGGACCCGTCCACCCCTAAAAGATTATAAGAGCGGCCACTGTATTTTGCCTATAGATAGAATCAAGCTGCACACTCAATAATGGAGTGAGAAGGAAAAATAAATGACGGGGTGGAAAAATCAACGACTGACCCAATTGAGATACAAGGGGCAAAACACACTGGGGAGCTTGGGAATCTCGACACGGATCATAACAAAAGAGAATGCCGGGAATGGGCCGGGAACAACATTTACTCACAAATGAATATTATCTAACTTACCCGGGGGGGGGTTACAGGAAACCGTCCCGTTATGTCAAAGTGGACTTAAAAAAGAAAATAAAGGCTAGCCCCGTTCACACGCACCAGGCTCGCCATAGATAACCACCTTTCGCTGAAATCCGTCCATAACAAACACTTTCTATCAGTTCTAATATTCATCTTGTGCTGATGTCCAAAGAATCCGACCAGATCACGATGAAAATAGCGTTCATAATATAATATTCCCTCCATCTGCCACGTCAACGCCACCATTCTGGCCATGGCTGGCAACGTCAGAAATACAATATGTTTCACCCCAGAGAACGGGGGCGATACATTATCGCACCCGTATGCGAGATCAATGGACACGAGATGTTTGGGATCGATAGAAGCCGTCAACTCACCGACATAATCTCAGAACAAGCGTGGACAATAGAAGGCGTACGAAGCCGTTTCCTTTAAGCCAAGGTCACACCGATGACAACTGGGCAAATCTGCCCAACCCCCTCTTAAGGCTACGTCATTGAGAGACAGCACATTCTGAATCAATCACCAGGTAAGCGAAAACTCAGGTTTGATGAGATAATTTGCCGAATAGTCTAAATGGGGGAACGTGGGACAATCTAGCAAATATAGATCGACTCTTCTTACTAACATTCTATCCAGATAGCTGGCTACCCGGGAGGACAGCCACTTAAGAGCCCACATCCACATCACCTTTTCCGGATGATCAAGCCGGTACCTAGAGAGCCCAAACTGGCCTATCAGATCGACCAAACTACGATCACCCAGACTAAGAGCGACGAATCCACCAGGAACAGGACCAACCATCAGGAAAAGGAGACACGCTGCGTGTGATCGTTGGGCACATAAATTACAGCGATCCGAAACGAACTATTACTCATGGCAATATCGGCCACAATCAACCTTCGCATCCAGGGAACATTTAGCTATCAAGGAAACGCTTCTGGCCAGCTGGTCCCAGTATGCTGAATAGACGACAAAGTCGCTAGACAACACCCAAGCATTAACGTCGCTAACAAAATGTGTCTCCTGATTGTGAAGGAAAAGAGATCACGAAGCAAGTGGGTAGCCTTACTCCGATCTCTCAAGCCTCTCGCATTTTAGCTAGCTATCTTGATAGACATTTTTACAGTTTAAGCCCTTAGGCACAGACTGGACGGAAATCTGCGGGTATCAGGACCCCGACATATTGTCCCAGACTACCAATGTAAATATCGGATGTAATTCGTCCGTCTGAGACAATCCTGCCAACGTCCGTCGGCAAATTGAGTTTAAGGACCCTATATGGCGAGGGGTAGAGCAACAGCGGGACCCTCCCTGCGCACATTTTAGCCATTTCTTTATTTGTGCCACCCGGATCTTCGGGAACGCATTTTTTGCCCCCGCCAAGTGAACCCAAACTTTGAGGTTATCCCCAGTGTTTCACCCCGGGAGCGTTCGAGAAGTTCCTGAGATCCTCCGCAAACTTGCCGTCCACGGAGGTATACTTAAAAAGAGACCTCAAGAGGGTCTTCCTCTGAGAGGAAAGGTCCCTCTCAAGGGCCTTGCCTGTTCACCAAGCTAAGTTTCTCCTCTTTGGGGAAAGTTATTTTCCTTTTTCCTTGGGAAGAGTTGGAAGAAGAAGAAGGGGAAGAGAGGAGGCTCCTTGCCTTAATTGGCAGATTCTTACTGGCGAAGCAAAGGTGGATTGGGTCCTGACTTCTACCAGGGCCTTCTTCGCCCTACTTCGACCAGATTTCTTTTCTTTTTTATGGCTTTCTCGTCTTTCTCTTCTTCTTCCCACCTCATTTTCAGCGAGGATGACTGTTCCGGCTGCTCCTCCTACTGTTTCTGCTGCACCCGCAGAGCTTGCTGCTTTTGCTGCTGCTTCTGTCCATGCTGTCGCTGCTGCTCTTTCGATGGTGGCTTCTGTTGCTGCTCCTTCGGTTGTTTTTTCGCCTGTTTTGTTGGCGACACATCCTTCCTTGGGTGCAGCCGATCCACCTCCTCATGATTCTGTCCACTCACTAGGGGTTTGGATGGACTTTTCCACCCCTACTGCTTCTTCGGGTGCTGCTGGTTTGGGTGTTACTAGTGATGCTGGAGTTGCTGCTGTCGGTGCCGAGTTCTTCCCGGGACACGCCTATGATAAGTGCCCCGCGTCACCACAGGAAAGCAATGGAGTAAGCAACCCTTCACAATCACAAGAATGTTCCTCCTACGACGTTAGTATGTCAGGGGTGTCCATAAAATTCTTACGAGTCATTGTGACTTGTAAGACGTAGTCGCCCTTTGCAGCTGAGGCATCGCGACCTGTCCGAATTGGGAGAAGACGACCCCAGTCGTTCCTCTATAAGGTCCATGGGCATCTGTGCAACATAATCCTGGTCCTCTGGAGGCTTATATATTCTCTTTGCAGTCGTACTGACTTTGTTGTCAGTATACTGCTTGCCAACCTCTTGGCCACCTCTTCGTTCGCCAGCAGGATGTCCCACATTTCGTTTGACCACAGGGCGAGGATTTGGGGCATTATTTGGAGGCTCTTTAGCGCTTCTTTCCTTGATATCCCTGCTGACTTCAATGAGCCGATATGTTACTACGTTGGTCATCAGCAGGAAAATAGTCCTTATAGCTACGGCATCAAGGGCCCCCGGGATGGTGAGGAAGTCGTGCTATTTGTTTATGGAGCATACTTTCCTGTAAGGCAACGTATTCCCCAGGTGTCTTTTTCTTGGGCCTGTTAGAGGTCCAAACCAATATAGTAGGTGGTGTTGATGCTGACTGCTGTGGGTGAGACTCCGCCATGATGGAGGAGTTCCCACGCCAGCACACACAATAATAAAAAGAGTCCAACAAACACAGATATTCAAACAAACAGTGACAAAAGGAAAAAGTAAGGGGAAAAATATAGACAGAAACGTGACACTTTTTCGTTCACAAAAATGTGGATGAGTCCAAAAAAGAAAACTAACCTGTTTGGGAATGACTGCAAAACTTTTTTCCCTTCCTCTTTTATAGGCAGACGTTCACAAATGCATGCTGAGACATTTTTCTTAGTCAATAAAAGTGGCCGGTTTACAGTTTGACATAACTCAGTCCAGATCTGCCTTGTCTATAGACCCTTGTGTTTCCTAGTCCAACCTTGCTTTTGTATGTCAATGCCAATTCTTAGCTTGTAATTTTTTTGCATTCTTATCTTTTAATTTGTCTTGCATATATTGTTTGCTTGTTTGCTTGATATTATTTCATTTTTGCCCTGTTCTTTTTTCTTTTTATTGCAAACTTTGTTAATTCTGTTGGTTTGGACAGTTCTACTATTTCTTTTGCATTTAATCATGACTACTCACTCATAAATGTACAACTATAGAATTACATATGTCAGAAACTTCAAAATTACATATAACCAGTTGCATGAAATTATTATTTGAACCTGTTATTAAAGTAGTTGATATCATCTAAAAGCTAATACGGCAGTGATCAGTGACTGTATCATTTAAGCAGTGACGGCCCTAGCGTTGTTGGCTCCCCGAGCAAGCTGAACTTCGGCGCCCTTACAAGTATAATTTTTTAAATTTTCCCAAGGGGAAAAATTGAAAATGCAGAATAACGAGTTTATTACAATATATAATACAAGAAAGGAAAACCTTCATTATCCAACATAAAACATTTTTCTAGCCTTTAGATCTTTCTTTACAAGATCATTTTCTATTGAAAAAATAGTGAAATAATTTAATCTGTCTCGAGACATGTACAGTTGCTAGTATTACATCAGGCAGCAAGGCCTCTGATCAGGCGATTTTGAGGACCATGGAACCACCTCTTTATTGCTATTGTTCCCAGGTCCACTCTGATTAGCGTGGTAGCACTTATTAGGGTCCAAGCTATGAACGAATAGTGACCTCCCAAACTGGGGTCAAAAACTGAAAATATAGATCTAAAAAGAAAAAAGTATATTATCAACAAATTTTGTAATAGATTTTGTTTAGAAAAACGACTCAAGCTCCAAGAAAATTAAATTTCGTCATTAAATGACACATAACCGCTAAACAAAACAAAACAAAAAAAAAAAAAAAAAAAAACACCGCTGCAAGTATGTTTTTATAAGGTTTAGTTTTGGAAGAACCCAAACACATAACATGGCAGTACAATGGCGCCATCAGCCTTGATGGGGGTCCAGGTGACAGTACCTTGAGCCGGCCCTGTATTTTAAGAAAACATTAAGGAAATGTACCGCTCCAAAAACAATTTTATTTTCAAAATCTTTTTCATATTATGCTCTGCAGATTACGACTATCAAAAGAGGAAAAAAATATTTTCTAAATTTTAAGAGTGTTCAATGTAAATTTTATTACCTACCCCCGCAATCACCCCTGCCCCAAATAAAGGTAAATAATAATAATAATAATAATAATAATAATAATAATAATAATATAACATTTAGAGAAGAGAACGGGTTTTAAAAAAGAAAAAAAAGACAATGTTTAACAACGTTTAAAGATATTTCAACATTGTCAAACATTGTTTCTCTTCTTTTCTTTTTCCTTTGGCTTACGGCCATATCACATTGAAATACCGGTTCCCATATGAACACCGAAGTTAAGCAATGTTGAGCCTGGTCAGTACCTAGATTGGTAACTGCTTGCTTGGGAATACCAGGTGCTGTAACCTCAAATGTGTAGATGGTGTAATGGATAATGGCTCAGAATAGTTAAACGGAGAGCTGAGTTCTAATTATCGTTGGTTTCATTATGTTCACTTATGTTCAAATACCCTTGGGAAAAGGTATGAATCCACCTCTTCTCCCCCAACTATGAGTCAATTAGTAAGACTTGTATCACTAAATCATTAGTATCTCAAAAAAATCTTACGATTTAAAAATATTTTCTGGCTTTAAATAACCTGCAATGGGTTGATAACCTGTAAAAAACGAATCAGTCAATAAATCTTTTTCTTTTCTTAAATTGTGGTCTTCTCTAAATGTTGCACAATATTAGAAGAGTTACGTTAATCCTTTTGTTTGTTAATAATGTCGATAATAATAATAGTAATAATAGTAATGATAAAGGGAAAAGATTAGTAAGAATATGTTTTAAATTATATTTCATGGCTGTTTTGAAATTGTAATGAAATTTTTTATATAAGCATTATTTTTATTTTTTTCAATACTTCACCCCAAGCAAGGCGATAAAGGATGCAAGAAGTTACCGAGTGTTAGAGAATACGAGAAAAGCTACTATTAAGGAGAGGGGACAATAAAAGAATAAGAATTAAGGAGAAAGAAGATAACGATTGATATTGTATTTAAGTTTTTGAAGATTATAATTGATTGAGAAGCAAGAAGCCGGAAAACAGTTCCACAAGTGAGAAGTGCGATAGAAGAAACTATTAGCATAGAACTTACGGTTACATCTCACCATTTCAACTGTAAAATGATGAGAACTTGCTGCCAATCTAGTACCGTGCTGAAATTCATAAAGTCAAGGTACCATAAAGGAAAGAACGATTACGATAAAAGTATTTATCAAAAAGGTGCAGGGAAGCTATGTCACGGTGGTGGGAAATTGACTGAAGCCAAGATGCCAGGTCAAGACCTATAACATTGTAGAGTCTTCTCTTGATTTTATCAAGAATCTTTAAATATATAACAGGAGCACCAGACCAGATGTCGCTGCAATATTCAAAGCAAGGAAAAATGGTAGATGTATAAATTTATATTTTAACACGAGACTGGAAAAAGACAAGTATGAATATGCTTTAAATAATATAAATATTAAATTTTTTTATAATTTAGCTTGAAATTATTTGAAATTTTGTAAGTGAAAATATACTTTATCATGTGGTATGAACATATATTTATATATTTGGCATGCATAGGAGGGTTATTTACAGAGCAACTGACAACAAAATATCAATTGCAAGAAGACAGAATGCATGGTTGACAGCAAAAGGAACATCTCACCAACAAGTACATTGCACACTAGAAATACCAAAATCAAACAAGTACAACGATTTAAATATCTGGGAAGTGTTTTAACAGAGAACAGAAAGTGTAACACTGAAATCTGAAAGCGTATTGGGATAGTGAAGATGCCTTATAGATAGCAAAGTATCTCCAACAGAAAAAATAATATATATGTTGGTCATACCACTACTATATTGTGTCGAAGATTGAGTTTTCATTTAAATGATGCATTTAACATCTTTCAACATTTACATCAGCATGCCTGTCCACATTTGTAATTTAGGAAAATTCTTGTTAAAAATAAATCTATATTTTTTCAGAAAAATATTAGTTGTTCTATGGGATTACAAAAAACACATAAAACAACTATTCAGTTACTTTCTCAATAGGAATTAGCCACTTAAAACTATCAAAAACTCAATCACGATGGCTTCCAAACAAAATAGAAATACTCTTCTAACCTATGAAACAAAAAAAAATCCAGGATTCCCATTAAATCCCCCCTTATATATATATATATATATATATATATAAATTTAATGAAAAACAGACCACTTTAAGGTACCATTACAATAATTTATTTCACCAAAATCCTTTTTAGGTCGTTTGGGGACCTTGTGGCACTTAGTGCACCAGGTCTCTGAATTCGGCCCTTCAAAAAGTGTGGCTGGTCCTGCACGAAACCTTCACCACTATAATCAAATCTCATGTACCGTTGTCGGGCTGTCGGTTTCCTGGGAACTGATCTGCTTGACCCTCATACGTCGAACTCGACGGGAGAGTCGACTATAGTCATTTTATGAAAATGGGCAAAAGTAGCTTTAAAAGAGTTAGAGGTCTTAACTTCCAACGGTCGTTAGCGAAGAGATTGAATTCAGCATCTTTTCAGGCAGGAAATATTTCTGTTACATTCTGGGAGAATTTTTATTTTTATTTTTTATTTATTGATAATAATAATAATGTCCCTACATCATATCCCCACCAAATTAGAGGAGCTAATAGGTAGTGATGGATACCTATTTAAAGTAGAAATAGTCATTGTTTTTGGAGAAATGAACTCTCCTCCTGGAATGTGTAATTGTGGTTTTTGATAATGGTTGTTTTGAGTCTTCAACAGGTTGTTCAGTGAATGATTGTTTAAGGTGTTTCTTGCTGTAGTCATCTAGTGTCATTGGTTTTAATCTCTCAGTAGAGATTGTGAAGTGTTTTCCTGGGGAATTTTCTATTATAAAGTATTTTTCATGTCTGGTAATTACTTTAGTATCCAGAATAAGGAGGATTGCTTAGCTGAGTGTAACCGTCCTTCATAAAGGAGTGATATCTTCTGCTTAGTCGTCTCTTCAGAAAATTGCTTAATGTTTTTTGGGTAACGGTAGAACTGTTATGTTTTACTAGTAATTTGGGAAGTAATTGGGTTCCAGTGAGAGCTATGTCGGGTGAAATGTAGCTTCATTGGGTACATTTCTCACTCCAAGAAGAACTATCTGTAGGGCATTTATCCAGTTTCGTTTTCTAGTCATTGTAGCTGCTTTTAGTGTTCTCTGCTGGGGCTATATTATTCCATTTATTTGTGGGATGGAATTGAGGTTGTAAAGATTAGCAAACATTTTACATATTGTGAACCAGCCATTTGAAGCTTTTTGCATAAATTCTGGAATTTTAACTAAAGCTAGTATACTGTGTGGTTGTTGCATGTCGAAAGTGTATGTAGGGATACGAAGTGGATAAAAGAAATGATTACTTGACTCGTTTTGCTCCTTTGCTTGTTTTTTTTTTTTTTTTTTTATGGGCCAGACTCCGAAGGTTGTTTAAATTATCTTGTAGGTATGGTGGAGTATCTGCTTCTCCGGCATTGAGTTATCAGTGATGTGGACGATAGTTGTTTTTTTTTTGTGGTCGCCACGTGGTATGGTTGCGCATATTTTTTTTTTTTTTTTTTCATCGGGAATTCCACAGTGATGTTTTTTTTGGGGTGGGGGGCTTAATCACCTGTCAAATTTCATCAAAAACTTGAATTCACTCTTCTGGAGTGTGGTTGGTTTCTCTTGCATATCAGTTTTTCCAAATGGTATAGTGAATAAGATATTTTTTATACACGTTGGTGGTCACCAAATAATGTAGTGAACAGTATTTCTTGTACGTCGGGGGTCAGCAATTGATGTGAGGAATAAGATGTTTTTTAAACACGCCAGTGGTAACCAAATGATGTGAGGCCACACACATCATGCCCAACAGAAATAACCTCATGTTCATATGGGCAAAAACATAGATGGAAATGACACTAAAAGCATTTATTTTAAATTAATTAAAATTATACAATTTATTTATTTTTGTGTACTGGTGTATGTATGTTTTTGGGATTACAATTTTTTTTTTGGTTGCATGTGATAAAAGGAAGAAATCATTTCATATTATGATAAGCAATGTCCCGGAGAGAGCAGATGGATGGCTTAACTTTCCAACAGTCATTAGCGAAGACATCCAGCGTTTTTTTTTGTTTTTTTTTTGCGCAAATTCCGTTTTCAGGTAGGAAATGTTTCTGTTGTATTTTATTGTTTATTTATTAATATCAATAATGCTCCTACACTGGATTTAAGCTGCTTTAAAAAAAATAACAGTAATTAGACAAAAACATTACTTTTGTCATACCAACAGTTTCTACATTTTTTTTATCTTTAAATTTTTCAAACTCCAAGTACACACAATTTTATGGAAAATGATTTCATTAGCAGATTGTAATAATTTTGTCAAAATGTAATTTAATTCATTAAAGATAGCAAAAAAATATTATTTACTAGTTGTCGGCAAGGTCTCATCCTTTTACATTTGAAATGGCTACCCGTAACCGTAAGTCCTATGTTAACAGTTTCTTCTCTTACTCTTCTAACTTGTGGAACTCTCTTCTAGCTTCTTGTTTCCAGTCAAGTTTGATTTTGAAAAATGTAAATGCAATGTCAATCGTTATATTCTGTCTTCTTAATTCCTGTTCTTTTATTCTTCTCTTTCATTCATGTTTTTTTCTTATATTCTCTCACACTCAGTAACCTCTTGCGTCTTAATGGCTTTATTGTCTTGCTTGGGGTGAAATGATAAAAAAAAATGCTAGAAGATAAATTATTTAAGTAAAAGTGAAAATGCTTTTACAGCAGCTAAAGAATAAAATGAAGGAATTTATAAAAAAAATTATTTTTACTACTTTTAAAATTAGCCTTGAATAAAAATGTCCAATCGTCTAAGCCAGGGATTGGCTACCTTTTGCCGATAGCGGACGAGATATCTATGCAGTGTCTCGGAGAAAGGCTGTGATATCAAATTGTTTCGACCTCAGACCACTCCGTCCAGAAGGCTGCCTTGTCCTGGAGGTTTAAAAAAAACAACGAAGTTAATGTTATATCATTTTAACAAGGTTTCTTATTATTGTGAGGCCGTAACATACCTACAACATGGACTCTTCCAGGACTATATAAAGTATGCGACATAACACTCTAGGAGAGAGGAGAAGAAGAGGAGGAGAGAGAGTATTCTAATACCGTAGTATCAGCCGCGTACGACTACCAATATTGGACACTAGCACATAGTAAGCTCCACTTACACTATCTTTGTAACCTTTTTGTTTAATATATCTTTCTTACCTCTAATCCGTGCTCCGTGTTTTCCTTCCGTTGTCCCAACTTTGGGTCCACATCAGTGGCGACGGAGAATT